TCAAATAAATAAGTAAATCTTTAGAAAAAATAAAAAAACTAATAAAAGGGATGCTGAGTTGCAAGTGGTGATTTAACCCACTTCACCACAAGGCTGGTCCCATTTTGTATTTTCCGTTGCATTGATTTCTACTCTTTGTTATTTTCTTTCTCTGCCTCATTATAGCTTACTTTGCTTTTCTTTTTCTACTTCCTTGAAGTTTGCACTGTGGTTATTTATTTGAGACCGTTCTTTGTTTCTATGTAAGCTTTTACTTTTTTTTTTTTTTTTTTTTTTGATAGGCAGAGTGGACAGTGAGAGAGAGAGAGACAGAGAGAAAGGTCTTGCTTTGCCGTTGGTTCACCCTCCAATGGCCTGCTGTGGCTGGCGCACTGCGCTGATCCGAAGGCAGGAGCCAGGTGCTTCTGGTCTCCCATGGGGTGCAGGGCCCAAGCACTTGGGCCATCGTCCACTGCACTCATGGCCACAGCAGAGAGCTGGCCTGGAAGAGGGGCAACCGGGACAGAATCCGGCGCCCCGACCGGGACTAGAACCTGGTGTGCCGGTGCTGCAAGGCAGAGGATTAGCCTAGTGAGCCGCGGCGCCGGCTCTATGTAAGCTTTTAATGCCGTAAGCATCCCTCTTCTCTGTGTTGCCTTAGCTTTTTTCCAAATTTTAATTTGCTGTGTTTTCATTCAGTTCCATATTTTAAAGAAAATTTCTTTGAGGCTTTCTGTGTACTCACGGATTATTTAAAAGTGCATTTTTTCCTTCCTTTGTGTTTAGAGATTTTCCTGCTGTCTCCCTGTGACTTGTTTCTAGTTTGATTTTGATTCCACTATGGCCAGAGAACATGGTATGTGAAATCATACACAATTCTCAGGGTGATTTCAGTCCTTTTTTTTTTTTTTTTTTTTTTTTTTTTTTTTTTTTTTTTTTTGATAGGCAGAGTTAGACAGTGAGAGAGACAGAGACAGAGAGAAAGGTCTTCCTTTTTCTGTTGGTTAACCCCCTACATGGCTGCTAGGGCCGACACGCTGCACCGATCTGAAGCCAGGAGCCAGGTACTTTTCCCTGGTCTCCCATGCAGGTGCAGGGCCTAAGGAGTTGGGCCATCCTCCACTGCACTCCCTGGCCACAGCAGAGAGCTGGACTGGAAGAGGAGCAGCCGGGACAGAATCTGGCGCCCCAACCAGGACTAGAACCTGGGGTGCAGGCACCACAGGTGGAGAATTAGCCAAGTGAGCTGTGGCGCCGGCCAGATTTCAGTGCTTTTAAAATTGTTGAGGTTTGTTTTATGGCACAGGATATAGTCTGTCTTGGTGAATGTTCCATGTGTATTTCAGAAAATCCATATCCTGTTGCATATTCTTGCCAGTTATGTTGTTTGATAGAATGTTCTAGATAGGTAAGTAGGTCCTGTTGTTGATTATATCTTGCACCTCTTCTATATTCTTGCTGATGCTCTGTCTGGAAGTTCTATCACTTGTTGAGAGGGGTCTGTGAAGTCCCCGAACATAACTGTGATTGGTTTATTTTTCCTTTCAGTTTCATTGGTTTTTTCCTTCATTCAAATTTTGAGATTCTGCTGTCTAGGATTTATAACATTTAGGATTGTTAAGTCTTCTACCAGGAAGAACATCAGTATATAATGTTATATGTTATATAAAAGCTTATAATTTTATAATAAAAGGATTTTATTAGTATGTAATGTTTTTTTTTTTTTTTGACTGAAGTGATTTTCTTTGATTTGAAGTCTACTTTATGAAATACTGATACAGCTATTCTTGTTTTATAACAACCGGAACAAACATTTGGCTTCACAGTTAAAATGCCTGTGTCCCATTTCAGAAAATCTGGGTATGATACCTAGCTCTGGTACTCCAATTCAGCTTCCTGCTTAGGCAGATCCGGGGAGGCAGTGGTGATGGCTCATGTAATAATAGGGTTATTACCACCCATATGAGAGACCTGGGTTATATTCTTGGATACTGGCTTTGGCTTGGCCTAGTTCTGGCTCTTGTGGGCATTTGGGAAATGAGCCAACAGATGTGAGCTCTCTGTATCTATATAAATCTATCTGATTTCTGTCTCTTAAATAAAATTTTAAAAATTGTATAGTATATCTTTCCTCATCCTTTTACTTTAGTCTGTTCATGCCTTGAATTTGGAATGAATGCATTTTAAGTTACATATAATGGCATCATTTTTTTCATCTATTTTGGAAATCTTTATCTTTTAATTGGTGCATTTAGATTTATATTTAAGGTAATCATTGATGTTAGATATATCTATCATTTTATTATATGCTTTCTTGGTGTTACCATGGCTTTTATTTTTATGTTTTTCCCTTTTGCCTGCCTATGAGTTAAAATTTTTCATATTCCCGCTTGACTTATTTCTGGTGTTTTTGAGTATATCTCTTTATATAGTGTAGTGGCTGCTCTAAGAATTACAGTGTACATTTGTGATTTATATAACTTAGTGGTATCAACATTTTACCACTCTGAATAAAGTGTGGAAACATAATTTCCATTTCAGTCCCTTTATCTTCTATTTTTAAAAAATGTTGTCTAGAGTATCAGATGATATTAGAGTTGTATTTTTGATAATCAAATAATTTTATAGCATTTATGAGGAAAATGATAATCTATTGTATGTACCCATATTTATCTGCTCTTTCTACTTTTCCTTCTTTCCCTCTGATACTCTAAGGTTCTTTTAAAATCATTTCCTTTATGTTTGAAAAGCTTTTGTTCTTTAAAGTTAAGTGTGCTGGATGGTGTCATGGCTCAATAGGCTAATCCTCCCCCTGTGGCGCCAGCACCCCGGGTTATAGCCCCAGTTGGGGCGCCAGATTCTGTCCCGGTTGCTCCTCTTCCAGTCCAGCTCTCTGCTGTGACCCGGAAGTGCAGTGGAGGATGGCTCCTGGCTTCGGATCAGCGAGGTGTGCTGGCCACAGTGGCCATTGCGGGGTGAACCAACGGAAAAGGAAGACCTCTCTCTGTCTCTCTCTCTCTCACTGTCCACTCTGCCTGTCAAAAATAAAAAAAAAAAAATAAAGATAAGTGTGCTAGCAACAACGTCTTTTAGTTTCCCTTCTGCTGAAAATGATTCCAGGACGATATTAAATTGCAGTGGTAAGAATGGGCATCATTTTCTGGTTCTGGATCTTAATGAAAATGCCTCCAGTTTTTCCTCATTCAGTAGGATGCTGGCTGTGGGTTTGTTATAAATTGCCTTGATTATGTTGAGGACTGTTCCTTCTGTACCCAATTTGCTTAAAGTTTTCATCATAAAAGGGTGTTGAATTTTTCAGCATCAATTGAGAAAAATCACATGGTTTTTGGTCTTCACTTGTTAATGTAATTAATCATATTTATTGATTTTTGGATGTTTAACCATCCCTGTATACCAAGGATAAATCTCACTTGGTCCAGGTGAATCATCTTTCTGATGTATTGTGGATTCGACTGGCTAGTATTTTGCTGAGGATTTTTGCATCTATATTCATCAGGGATATTGGTCTATAGTTCTCTTTCTTTGTCATTTCTTTTTCTGGCTTAGGAATTAAGGTGATGCACTTTTTAGGAGTTTGGGAGGATTCCTTCCCTTTTAATCATTTTGAATAGCTTGAGAAGAATTGGAATTAGTTTTTTAAGTGTCTAGTAGAATTCAGCATTGAAGCCACTGGGACCTGGGCTTTTCTTCGTTTGAAGGATCTTTATTACTGATTCAATTTCTGTCTTGGTTATTGTCCTTTTAATTGTTCTATGTGTTCATGACTCGATTTAGGTAGGTTGTGTGCATCCAGGAATCTATCCATTTCTTTTAGGTTTCCAGATTTGTTGGCATACAGCTCTTTATAATAATTCCTGATGATTCTTTTTATTTCTGGTATCTGTTGTTACATTTCCTTTTTCATATCTGTTGCTGTTGATTTGGGTCTTCTTCCTCTTTTTTTTTTTTCTTTTTCTTTTTGGTTAGTTGGGCCAATGGTGTGTCAGTTTTCTTTATTTTTTCAAAAAAACAGCTCTTCATTTCATTGATCTTTTGTGTTGTTATTTTGGTTTCAAATTTGTTTATTTCTTTTTTTTAACATTTATTTAATGAATATAAATTTCCAAAGTACAGCATATAGATTACAATGGCTTCCTCCCCCATAACTTGCCTCCCACCTGCAGCCCTCCCCTTTCCCACTCCCTCTCCCCTTCCATTCACATCAAGATTCATTTTCAATTCTCTTTATATACAGAAGATCAGTTTAGCATATATTAAGTAAAGGTTTCAACAGTTTGCACCCACATAGAAACACAAAGTGAAAAATACTGTTTGAGTACTAATTATAGCATTAAATCACAACGTACAGCACATTAAGGACAGAGATCCTACACAAGGAGTAAGTGCACAGTGATTCCTGTTGTTGACTTAACAAATTGACACTCTTGTTTATGGCATCAGTAATCACCCTAGGCTCTTGTCAGGAGTTGCCAAGGCTATGGAAGCCTTTTGAGTTCACCGACTCTGATCATATTTAGACAAGGCCATGGTCAAAGTGGAAGTTTTCTCCTCCCTTCAGAGAAAGGTACCTCCTTCTTTGATGACCCGTTCTTTCCACTGGGATCTCACTCATGGAGATCTTTCATTTAGGTCTTCTTTTCAGCCCTTAAGGCATGTGGATCCGGCCAAAAAGCCCATGAGAGTATTTCAGGCATGGAAAGCTAAGACACTCTGGAAATTTGTTTATTTCTTCCTTAATTTTAATTATTTCCTCCTACTAACTTTGGGTTTTTTTTTTTTTTTCTAGATCCTTGAAATGCATTTACAACTCATTTATTTGGTGACTTTCCTGTTTCTTGATGTAGGCACTAATTGCTATAAACTTCTATTTTAACACTGCTTTTGCTGTATCCCATATATTTTGTATGATGTATTGTTTTCTTCATTTGTTTCCAGATTTTTTTTTTTAATTTCTCCTATGACCCACTGTTCATTTAGGAGCATGTTATTCAGTCTCCATGTATTTGCATGTGTTCTAGAGATTCTTTTTTTTTTTTTTTTGACAGGCAGAGTTAGTGAGAGAAAGAGAGGCGGAGAGGAAGGTCTTCCTTCCGTTGGCTCACCCCCCAAATGGCTGCTACGGCTGGCGCGCTGTGCCAATCTGAAGCCAGGAGCCAGTTGCTTCCTCCTGGTCTCCCATGTGGGTGCAGGGCTCAAGGATTTAGGCCATCCTCCACTGCTTTCCTGGGCCACAGCAGAGAGCTGGCCTGGAAGAGGAGCAACGGGGACAGAATCCGGCGCCCCAACCAGGACTAGAACCCCCAGGGTACTATTTTTGAGTTGTTGGTTTCAAACTTCAATCCATTGTGATCAGAGAAGGTTCATGGTATGGTTTTGATTTTTTAAAATTTGCTGACTTACTTTATTGCCTCGTATGTGGTCTATCCTAGAGAATGTTCCATACACTGCTGAGAAGAATGTGTATTCTGCCACTGTGGGGTGAAAAGTCCCTCATTACTATTGTATTGGAGTCTATGTCTCCCTTTAAATCTGTTAACAGTTCTTTTAAATAGGCTGGTGCCCTGTAGATTGGGTATATATACATTTATTATAGTAATGTCTTCCTATTGTATTGATTCCCTCAATCATTACATAGTGTCCTTATCTGTCTGTTTTAACAGTTTTTGTGTTAAAGTCTGTCTTGTCTGATATTAGGATGGCTGCTCCTGCCCTTTTTTTCTTTCTGTTAGCATGGGATATCTTTTTCCATCCTTTCACTTTCAGTCCGTGTGCATCTTTGTTGATGAGGTGTGTTTCTTGTAGGCAGCAAATAGATGAGTCTTGCTTTTGAATCCATTCATCCAATCTGTATCTTTTAACAGGAGAGTTAAAGCCATTTACATTCAAGGTAACTATTGATAAGTAACTACTCGGCCTTGCCATTTTTCTGTGAGTATTCCTGACATTTACTTTGGAATTCTTTTGTACTTTTACTGGGGGGATTTCCTGTCTTTACATTCTTTCATGGTGATAGCTTTCTTCCTGTGTTTCTGTGTGTAGCACATCATTTAGCATCTTTTGTAATGCTGGACTAGTGATGACAAATTCTTTCAGTTTCTATTTGTCATGGGAGGTCTTTATTTCACCTTGATTCATAAATGAGAGCTTTACAGGGTACAGTATTCTGGGTTGACAGTTTTTTTTTTTTTTTCTCTCATCTTGTCTTCTAGCCTGTAGGGTTTCTTATGAAAAGTCTGCTGTGAGTCTGGTTGGAGATTCTCTGAAAGTAATCTGATGCTTCTCTCATGCACATTTTAGAATCTTTCTTTATGCTTTACTGTGGAAAGTTGGACTATAATATGTCATGGTGAAGATCTTTTCTGTTATGTCTGTTAGGAGTTCTATGTGCTTCCTCTACTTGGACTTTCCTTTCTTTTTCCAAATTATGGAAGTTTTTTGTAATTATTTCATTAATTAGGCCTTCTAGTCCCTTCTCTCTTTCCACACCTTTAGGCACTCCTAAGACCCATACATTGAATCTTTTGGTAGTATCCCATAGATCCCCAGCACTGTTTTTAAGTTCTCTAATTTCTTCTTCTTCTCTCTCTCTCTTTTTTTTTTTTTTTGGTATTACTGTAAAAAATCCAGAGATTTGTCTTCTAGCTTGGCTATTTTTCTTTTGCCTTATTAACTCTATTGTTATGGCTTTCCAGTGCATTTTTATTTGATCTATTGAATTCTTCATTTGTAATAATTCATTTTAATTTTTTTTAAATCTCAATTTTATGGGACTAATTTTCATTCATATCATTTAAGGTTTTCTTTAGTTTGTGGATTTGCTTCTGATTGCTTTTTAGTAGTCCTATGATTAATTTTTAAAATTTCATTTTTGGCATTTTCTCAATCTCTTCCATCTGCACATTCTAATATTGAAATGTTGTGTTCCTTTGAGGGGGTCGTAGTGTCTTCCTCATTCTTGTTTCTTGAATTTATGCATTTATTTCTAGGCATTTGTAGAATTTTTTTCCTCCGATGGATTTTATCTTCGAGTTATTCCTCTGTGGCTTGGTGGAATGTCTACTTTCAGTGAATACCAAGAGGTGTCTTGTGGGTATGGCCAGGGAGCTCAATTCAGTGCTTCAGGATGGGGTGAGTATCCAGGATAACACCTAATTTGGGTGTGGTAGCTCTCCTTGGGTAGCTGGATAGAGGAATGGTCACCTCTGTTGGTGTGACCACCCCTTCTCCTTCAAGCTGAGGAATGGCAAGGTGTTAGCCCAGAAGTATGTTTAACTCTCATCTGCACCATCATATGAACCACATACATGATCTGCGCAGCCCTTCCTGTGAGCATGGTTCCCTCTGCTATGAGCTGCTGTAGACAACCAAGGAGCTGTGAGAGTGTGCAGCAGCATTCTGTGATTACCCTGAACCCAGATACAGTCTGACTCCTCTCATGCAGTCACAGTGTTTTCTCATTCTCATCACTCAGGGCTGTCGGGGTCAAGGACTGCAAGTAAGCCACTCTCCCCTACTAGCCCATCATCTGCAAGGAGACAGGTGTTCCCAGAGCCGCTGTCCATTTGTTCTAGCCCGCTGGATTGAGTCCAATCCTCCCAACCAGATTCAAAGTCTGTGGGGGAATGTCTCTGGTAAGACCTCTGGGTCACAGGTGTGCTCTCTATCTGCAGCTCTCTATCTACAGCCCAGCTTTTTCCATAGTTGTGCTGGGTGCACAGGAGAGTCCTGCAGGTGGCACTTCCCTTCCGTCGGGATGGGTTCACCTCCGCACCTGTTGCTGAGTGGCTGCAGCTGGTGTTGTGGAGACCATCCCAGTCAGTTGCTCCTGAACTGCTGTGGTTGCCCCCACTGACTGGGTTGGGGGGTGACCCCAGTAGTTGCTGGGTGCTCATACAAAAGCTGTAGCACATTCCACTTGCCTGTGTCCAAAGTGGTGCCAATCCTCCCACTGCTGGCTCCAGATTCTGCTGTAGGGGGAGAAAGGGAGAGAGAGACACACACATACTTCTCCCGCCCACCTTGTAAGCAGTTGCCCTGCTGCCCCAGGGGACCCAGGCCTGACTCAGAAATGCTGCAGTTCATCAACCTCTACCTCCAGTTGTATCAACAGTGGCATGGGCGCATGCCATCTGATCTCACCTGGTTTGCCTGGGCGGGTACTGTTTCTCCCCCAGGATCCAAGCTGCTGGGTTCTTTGTTGTTTTGTTGCTTCTTAGTCCGTACCTGCAACTTCCACATGGGTCTGGGCCATCTCTGTTGATCTTGCAGGACCTCTCCCTGCAGCCTCCCCTAAAGCTCTACCCTGAGAGTGTACTTCTGCACTTTTTTAACATTAATTTTGCTTAACCTAATAAGACTGCTATGTTGCTATTCCACCATTTTGGAAACCTGAAGTCACCCTGTTTAGACTTGGTATGCAGGTTGTGGCATATTTCTTGGGCTGTGGTTCCAGGGGTACCTTAATTTTCATAGCCTTTGTGATGTTATTACTTAGGTTTGCCTGGATTATGTGGTGCTTCTGAAATTCCCACTGGTCTCGTTGTCCTTCCCAAAGGGGATGGGGAGTGGAAAGTTTTCCCTGGGGCAGCTTCTAGATGTCTTTTGGTGGAGAGCAGATCCCTTACTACTGATCCCCACCTTTGTATTTTTGGGCAGAAGACACAGTGAGGCTTCCCAACCTGGGCCACTCCCAAACACTCCCCAAACAGCTGCAATGGCCAGGGCTGGGTCAGGCCAAAAGCAGGAGCTCAGAACTCCAACCTGGTTTTCCCCATAGGTGGCTGGGGACCAAGTACTTGGCCCATATTCTTCTGCTTTCCCAGGCCCATTAGCAGGGAGCTAGATTGGAAATGAAGCAACTGAGACTTGAACCTACACACATGTGGCATATTGGGAACTGCAGGCAGTGGTTTAACCTGTTGAGCTACTATGCTGACCCTACTATGTGCCTTTTTGAGGTGTTGGCCTCTCAAACTAGTGTCTCCGAGTGTGGGAGGAGTCTTAGACACCATCTGCTGTAGTTGGGTCTTTCTTGCAGATTCTACCTGCACATCTCTGTCTCAGAGGAAGAGTCTTGGTCCCAGTGATGTGGAAGGAGAATGCTTCTATTGGTTGCTTATCTTCTCTTGGCCCCTCAGTTGATACCCCTGATTGGTTAATTCCCCTTGCTGGTGATATGGGCTCACCTGTTTGATCCTGGGGATCAAAAAGCCCATCTGGGATGCTGTCTTGTTAAGTAGGGGTTGGGAAACAGAGGCCCTGTGTGGCTTTTTGGCATATGAAGGCATGTCACTGTTGCTGTTCCTCCAGCCCTGTGGTCCCTAGCCAGCCTGCCACCTTCTTACCACCTTGCACAATCTCTTGAACATTTTCAAGGCTTATAGCCATGATTGGCATGGGGAAGCAAGTCTCTGCTATCTTGTCCTGACCAGAAGTTAAAATATATCTTTAAATATGTTTTCAAACCATCCAGTTGTACTTAAGTTAGTGAGAATTACCAGGGTGGGATTCTGAGAAGACTGAAATCCTTAAAAGTCAGTTCAACATTGAGACTCATTTTTATCTGGGAAAACAAACTGTAAGAAAACTAGTCCTGTATATCTGAAGGTCGAAAGTTGGAGTAGCAGGTGGCTACTACAAAGCCCAAGGTGGGAACCTTGGTTAACTACCTCCTGCTTTGGGTGAGATCTCAGAAGGCCACACTGCAGGATGAATCAGAAGTAAACCAGCTAGACTGCAGCTTGACTTTGAGTATAAACTGAATCAGGAGACATTGGCCCTGATGTCATGTAAGTGATTTTACAGCTTTGCAAAAGGCCCTTGTTAAATTAGAGGGATGAATGATCCCCAGGCCCTTCCTAACACTAGAATTATCAAGTTTCTCCCCCCTCAGTTAATGAATAGCTGAAAAACATGTGAGAACTAGAAGAGTTAGGTCTTTCCTTAGATTTTTCTAGAAGAAGCTTCTTGTAAGAAACTTGTAGTAGGATGTTAGTTTTATATTAAAGGATTAGAAAGCATTTTGAAAGACAGTTTAAACATAAATGATATGTGCCAGAAGAAGAAGAAATTGTGACATACGTATTAAGAAACATAATCATGCAAAATGGCTGCTGGAGGAGGATGTTGAATTTTAATTCCATTTTAATGGAATGGGCCTCCATTAATCTGATCTCTTAAGTATTCTTACTTACATTTAGACTAGCTGGCTAGTTTACATTTTATTTCCATGTGCTAATTTATGTTTACTGTATACAAAGTGTGATCACGAAGACATGCAAGGAAAACAATTCCTAGAAAGCTACTAGAGAATGATAGGTTATGAGATTTTCCCTAAAATGTTTAGTTTTCCTCTTCTGTTGATATTTATAGGAAAATATCTGTAAGTAAATCATTTGATAATACAATTTTTATATCAGAATTTTAATACTGTGATCAATGATACAGAATTTGCCCTTTTAAAAAATTATTTTATTTATTTGAAAGACAGAGGAGACAGGGAGAGAGAGAGAAATCTTCTGTCTTCTGGTTCACTCCTCAAATGGCTGCAATGGCCAGTGTTGAGCCAGATATAAGCCAGGAGCCAGGACCCTCCTCCAGGTCTCCCACATGGGTGCAGGGACTCAAGGACTTGGACCTTCCTCCACTAATTTCCCAGGCATGTTAGCAGGGAGCTGGATCATAAGTGGAGCAGCTGAGACTTGAACCTGTGCTCATATGAGATGCAGTGTCACAGGCGGTGGCGTTACCTGCTGTGTCACAATGCCAGCCTCAGAATTTACTTTCTTAAAATTTTTTTTAAAATTTATTTACTTGAAAAAGTTAGAGAGAGGAAGTGGGAGGGAGGGAGAGAGGGGGAGGGAGAGATATATATAGAGAGAGAATGCAAACGCATCTTTCATTCTATGGCTCACTCCCCAAAAGGCTGCAATGGCCAAGGAAGGTTGGGCCAGGTTAAAGCCAGGAGGCTGGAACTTCAACCAGGTCTCCCACATGGGTGGCAGGGGCCCAAGCACTCAGTTGTCTTCTGCTGTTTTCCTAGGCACATTAGCAGGGAGCTGAATCAGAAATAGAGGAGCCAGGATTCAAACCAGTGCCCATGTGGGTTGCCTGAGTCATAGATGTCAGCTCAATCTGCTGTGCAATGACACCTGCCCTCAAAATTTACTTTCTTCTTACTACTAAGGTAATAGCACCTTCTATGATGAATTTATTGCAACACATAAATGTATAGACAGCATTTGAATAGTAATGCTTTAAAGTAGACTAATTTCATTGTCTAGTCATACTGACATCTCAGTAATGCGGGAGGTTCATAACTGCAGAGCAAGCCAATGTGTGCTCATCTATTTTAGGATTATCTAATCGAATGCAGACTTCTGGAGAGTTTGCTACCTTTTAGATTGCTAGTCTACACTTCATTTCCATGTGCTGCATACAAAGTGTGATCATGGAGACATGCAGGTAAAACCACCTCTAAAATGTTAAGAGCTTTTATAAATGTTCTATAGAACATTTCCCAGTTACTCAATTCTATCCTTTAAGAGGATTTTAATAAAATGAGTTAGGTGTTACTCTTCTTTATTAGTATTATCATATAAAAAAGAAAACACCTAATTTTAGGGAGCACTTAAATTCAGTTTTGTGTTAAATTTATTTATTGGAAATGCAGAATAACAGAGATCATCCATCCACTGATTTATTCCTCAGATGCCCACAATAGCCAGGACTGGGCCATACTGAAGCCAGAAGCTACCAGAAAAACAAAGAAACAAATATTGTTGTATCTAATTTTAATGTGATTATTAGTGATTTGATTTTCAAAGAAGCAAATAATTACAGACAAGAGAAGACATTTGTGGAAGTGTTGCCTGATCTCTTTTATCCAGGCCACTGTTGGACTACATGGGAAATAAATGTATATTCTTGATATCTTCATTACTATAAAATCAGAGCCATATGATATTGATGGAAACAAAATGTTTAGAATAAATCTGTCAGTATTTGGATTTCTTTTGGGGGGAAAATAAATGCAAACTCATGTTGTTTGGAAAGAAATATGATAAGAAATGCCCATATATGCAACCTGCTGTTGTCATATTTAGTTTTCAATAGTTTTAGCTGCTTATTTTCCAACTTCAGGAGATAAATTTCTAAATTATTCAAAGATTGTTAGAAATTTCACTCAGTATAAGCACTGAATAATAAGAATTCTGTGACATGGATGCAAGAAATTATTGTTTTTCAATCAAGAGACATAATTGTCCATAAAGTGCATTTCAAAGAAAAGTACCCCCTAGGGAATAATTTAAAGTGCAATGTATAAGGTACTTTGAAAAGTGCAAAGTTGCTAAATATATACATTATAGGTGCCAAGTCCAAATAAAGCAGTTTCTTATCTATCCCTCCACTAGACAGAACAATGGAAACATATATAAGCCTTTGCAGGTCTAAGTATGTTAGTCCATTTGTGTGTGCACATGTGTGTATGACTGTGCCTAAATACATATATTACTGCTTGATGGTCTCTGCAAATGTCTGAAACTGGTTTCCTAGAATTGAAACCTTTGAACACTGACACAGTTACGCAATCTCCACTTCAATATGCAATTCCACATCAGCATAGCGTTAGGCTTGTAATAATGGTTGGACTATTTCAGCCTGCAGATCTTGTAAGGCAGGCATTTGACTTTGAATTAAATGTTTAATGAAAACTGCAAAAAATACAATCACGATAACGCTGCCAAGGGCGAGTCCTATGAAATAAGGGTATGCCTCCTCTGGCTCATATTCTCCTGGTTGGTCACTACCAAGGAGGAGGGTAGTACTCTGTGTATAGGGAATTGCTTTTGGAGTTGCTGAATTGAGCAGATCCTGGACATTCCTGAGTGATCCATTGTGTGGCATAGCAGTGATATTGAGGAGGTGGCACAGCATTGGGTACAGATCTGTGGAGTTCATGGCTTCTTTTGTGAAATTCTTTCTGAAGGCAGGACCGTGGGCTAAAAATATTGGATGCATTTCTGCTAATGCATTATCATAACCGTGGTTGCCTACTGTAAAGAGAAAATGCATGAATACGTTAGCCAACCAGATGGCACTGAAATGGAAATAACTGTTGTACTCATATGGTCAAGTTCTGAACTTAAATGCAGATTTTATCTAATTTGACTTTAAAAATAAAATAATCCTTTACAAACAATCTCTGCTGTTGTCATTTCCACCATTTACTTCAGGAAATGAAAAGTTAAATGATCACAAACGTTTATTCCAGGCCAACATTGTCTCCAGCAGCAGAGAAGACAAGGTGAAGAGCAAAGGTGAACCACATCAGGGGAAAACAAGTTATTTTTGGGTTGTTTTTTTTTTTTGGGGGGGGGGTTGGAGGGGGCGGAGCTGGGAAACTATTATTCAGCAGATATTCACTGAGTATCTAATGTTTCAGTTGTTTGACAGGTAAAGGGGGTAAAGGTGCATTTCATCCTAATCATGAGGACAAACTCATAATTAGCAATGAAAGGAGGAAAACACTACATAAGGAAAAACAAAGACACCACATAAATCGAGCCTCCTGTTAGAGCTACAATCCATTTCTAAAAAAAACAAAGGTCAGGGCTTGTAGAGTGGAAAAGTCTCTGTGGGGGTTCAGATCAGGATCCAACTTAGCATTGTATAATTTAGTGAGGCTACAAATAAAAACTTTACTTCTGCCATATGTATCAAGTGATACAAACTGAAGAGTAGAAACTATGTAACAAAAGCCTGTGTGATTGGTGTAACATCAGGGCACAAGACAGAGGAGCTATTGCGGCTAAGATGGAAACCCAAGAAGACTGACACACTTTATCTTAAAAGAGGTGAGGAGAATGATGAGTGAATCAGACTCTATCTGTACTTATGACAAGGAAATATCCAATGGGAACATGAACATAGCCCCTCCAAAAATCCTAAGTCAGTTTCTCTGAAAGTCATGAATGGATCCTTAGTCATCTTAAAATAATTTGAAATCTGCCAGGCAAATGCATCTAAAGAAGTCATTCTAACTGCTACAGTCCTTTCAAGTTTCTTCACATAAAAATAATGCTAGATTCACAAATTGCTAGTAATTAGCTGGCAGGAGACTGTGCTGTTCTATTGAATTTATTGATGATAACATTGAGAAATGTGCCACCATATGATATACAATTGATTGGAAGACAGTCGTGTTCATTTATATGAGAAGTTTAGATCAAGACTCATTGTGAGGACAAAGGTAATTCTCTTACACCATAAGTCTTATTAGAAAACCAGGCTGAAATTGAAATCATATGATTTATATAAACCCTTCCTACAGATAGAAGACTTTGTTTAATGGTGACTGTGCCAGCCATCAAATGCTTGGTCCAGGAAGCAGTATTTAAACTGATGCCTAAGGGCAGTGGGTCTCACAATTCCTTGTGAATGTGGCTCTGGGGTATGGTGGAAACACAGGTTTCTAGATACTATCCTCACAGTTTCTAACTCAGAAGGTCTGGGTAGGCCCCAAGAATTTGCATTTCTAACAAGTTCACAGGTGATGGGGATGCTGCTGAGCCAGGGAACACACTTTGAGAACCACTCCTGTTTGCTATTAGGGCTTAATTATCTTGTGACACTTTGGCTAACAGTGACTACAGTGGCCAAAATTTACTTATTTGTTGAATAAATGAACAGAATGCAACACAGAAGGAGCATTATTTTTTTTTTTTTGCTACCAAAACACAGGTAAAAAGGGTTTTGTATTAAAGTTCACCAAGCCAAAACTTCTAGAGAACCCTCAAATTACTGTTAACTGTACAATACAAATGTCCTCTAAGAACAGTTCTTTTCTGAACAATTCCTGTAACGTAAGAGCTACCTCCACAGTATGTGAACATCTGAACATGTAAGGGTGCACAGGCAAGGAAATGGTTTCAAAGGACTTCTTGACACATTTCCCCTACATGATTAAACATTGATTTACATATCATTATACATATATGAAAACTTTTAATAACCAGAAGCCACATATCTGTACACATCTAGTAAGAGTCGTGGATGCACTACAGATGCCATTTTCAGGCAAATGCTTTTCTTGCGGTCAAAAAAAAAAAAAATGACAAATTCAATTCTACTGAAAGGGACTTTTTTTTTTTTTACACTTCTGACACACATTATATATATATATACACACATATATATACATATATATATGGACCAGTGTCTAAAAAGCATTTCTTGATAAGTATTGTCAAAACCAATTCCTTCAACATTCAAGTAACAGGAAAAAAACATCAGCAAGTGAACTGCTGTATTATCCACAGCCTCCAAGTCAGCAAAAAACGATGGAGAATGGGAAGAAATACTATAACATACTCACACAAAAAGTCATCTGACTTATTCTGTAAAATGTACCATCCTTCGTCAGCCACTGCTATGATTGGTTGAATTCGATTGTTGTATTTGTAATGCCATCTTTCCGGAATCTCCTCTTTTTTGTAAACAGTAAGATTAGGATGGGCATGAGCTAGTGCTTCATAGACCTCATCAAATTTACCTAGAAAGAAGACAGAGGCTCTCAGAACAAGATCCTTAACTACTAAAATGCAACAATCACCCAGGAGACCCCATGCTGAGAGAAAAAAGCCAGGAAACACAGTGAAATATGGGTGGACATATTAGAACTACACATACACACACACAGTGGGCAAAGAATCTTGAGGGGAAAAAATTATTCTTCTGTTGTAAATAAATTCACCTTAAATAATTAGAGGGCATTTTATAGAATTGGAAATCTCTAATATCTAAACAAAGACTTAAATACATACATAAAAGGGTTCTTCAACAAGTGCCTAGCAAAATGGAATTAAATGTCTCTTTTGGTGCAAAAATATTTTGAAACACATGATTGCTTCCTCATTTCCTGTTTACTTTTTGAAGACCCTTCACATATGCATGCGCTTACATACATGTGTCTTAATTATTAATGGCATGAAGTAAAATGTGTAGGGTACCTGCAACATTTGAAAACAAAGAGCTGGGTTCTTGTAGTTATGAGTGCAGAGACAAGGAACCTCTAGACAAGAAACAACAATAACAACACGTTAAGCAGAGGGTGGAAGCTGGAGAAATGTGGACTGGAGGTGGTAAACAGCTCATCAAATAGAAAGGTCCTCAAAATCCTGGGGGTGTTTAAAAAAGTGCTCTATGGAACTGCAAATATGGTGCACCTGCTGCTCCTTGTCCTCAATCCTTTTCTTGCTTTGTTAATCCACTTGTTAGTGCTTTGTCCCTGCCTCCCACACCTCAATAAGAGAACACCATTTCAATTGTATGAGGAATATTGAAGAGGCAACATGATTTTTCTTAAGGGAAAAAAGCCTTATTTGTGGAAAACTGTTGTGTGTAGGAGTACATGCATGGTCTACCACTCACAGTCTCACGTGGTTCTCTTAACTGCCTTGTGAGGGGCAGAATTCTCATTTGTTAGTCCAGCTTTTGAAAATCTGCTCTTTTGATACGTAAGCTACCAGGTGATACAATGTAAGTCAGAAGAGCAGCCCTGAGTTGTGTGATCTCTAGAGGTCAAACCTTCTGACCTTTTTTACCTCTTTAAAATGGCGGCAATACCATGGGGACAGGTTTGGGATGAGGATTCCAAGTGAGGCTTGTAAGATGTTACAGGCCTTGTTACTATCGTTCTTACTCATAAATAAGGAACATGCTTGTGCCATCTCAGATTGACCAAAGCTCTTCCTCCTTCTTACACCCTATGGATTGCTTATTAAGCAGGTCCTAATTAAGAATCTATAGAAGGCTTAGAGCCTCCATGAAATCACTGTGACTGTATTAAAATTCTGTATCTATCGTTCTGTCTCAATTTTTCTGAGAAGGGAGGCTGCAAATTGGACTTGGAAAAGAGATTTTTGTCTTTGCAGTGCCTAAAGATTAAATCTCAGAATACTGCCATGACAAAGGCACAGAAGTGGGAATCTCATCATATAATCACACCAGGCAAACAAACTGGCCTCTGGTCACCATGCCCCCACGGGTCAGACTCACCTTCTTTGGGCAAGATGGCAGCTACCGGAGATCTGTCAATCAGGGTATAGTGTTCTTTATCCACATACTGGTCAAGTTCTATCACCCTTTGCTTAGAACACTGGGTCATTCCATGATCACTTGTGATGATGAGGTTCACAGTGTTCCACAACTTTGCATTTTTCAGCATTTGTATGAGATATCCTAACTTCTTGTCAATATCTGATATGACAGGCCCCATGAGGGGACTGTCAGGTCCCAAATGGTGACCCATGTCATCAGGCTCTTCCCAATAGAGAAGACCAAGATTTATGGGCTCTTTTGATGTAAACCACTCAATAATTTTGGCAACTCTATCTTCGAATGACATGGACTCATTGTAAGGCATGTAATGAGTAGGAAAACTGTTATGTATCTTTACATCTGCTCCAGGCCACATGGCTGCACCACTGCTATGTCCTTCCCTCTGATTGGTAACCCATATTGGTGTCGCTTCTTCCCAAAACTCAGAATCATAAATATTCATGTCATCCAAGGAGAAAGATTTGTTCAGAATAGGATCAAACATGTCATTTGCCACAATCCCATGATTCTCTGCAAAGAGGCCAGTTACCAAGGTATAATGGTTAGGGTAGGTCTTTGTAATAAAAATATTAGTAACTTGCTTCACATGCACACCGGATTGCATGATATAATGAAAATGGGGTGTTGGAACTTTATATAAGTAATCCCAGCGGAATCCATCAAATGAAACTAGTAGAACCTTTTGCTGGTCTGGTTGGAGAGAAAATGTAGTTTCAAGAGTTAGTGCAGCAAGTACGAAGGACACCAAGAGAAACTGTGGAGTCATTTTCAAAGTGCTTGATCAGTTCAGTGAAAGAAAATCTGCAGAATAAACATAAAGAAGTTAATAGCAATAATTTTGTTGTGTATACTTTGCCCCAAACTGAGAGTGAGGGTGCTTAGTAATCCCAGACTTTTCATAAGTCACAGCCTGGCAGAATTATGTTGCAGAACACTCCATGTTAAGCAAGAACTGTGACTGCATGTATTACAAAGCTATACTGTTTAGTTGCACTTTAAAAACTGCTTTACTTTCCAAGATTTTATAAAAATATTCCTCAGAGAAAATATTTAAATGAGCTTGCCCATAGCATTGAAAATGTGATATACTTTACATAAAACTTTTAAGAAGCATTTTCAGGTTCACCCAGACTTCTGATTTGTAATCACAAACTTTTATTCAGGGAAATACCTGTGAATATATCTATCATTATGACTACAGCAAATATAGGAACCTAGCATCAAGGAAGTATCGTTAGTAAATCCATTAACTGTGCACTGCATTGCAGCTTCAAAGCCAACTCTATGTTTGGTTCATCATGGTTAGAGATATTAGAAGAAAGTAGATGAAGTTGGTTTCCTGAAGTGAAATAAAATTTATTACATTGAAATTTACTTTGGGAATAAAATCTTAATTCACTCATTAATAATCAAATCATAGAAATCATAGCCGCCTTTTAAACATTCTAAATTAAGTATAAATAGAGGATTCTGAAACTTGATGTTGACCTTCCTAATGTTACAGTTTGTCAATATTTAATCTTATTGGTGATAACGTTTAGAATTTATTCTTTCCAAAACTAAATCTCTCTGGGTCAAGGTTTTTATTTCATTTTTAGATCTCCATATATTTCTAAAAAGCTTTTATTCAAGAAAGCTAATAAGAGGTCATATGGATAAACAATCTAAATTCTGTTAATTCTTATCAGGCTTGAACATCAGACAAGGATCCTTTGTTCTCCCTGTTTTCTGTCCATCTAGCATGAAGGTATTTAAAAACCCACCAAAATTTAGAACCAACCTTATTTTGTGTAAAGAAATCTCTTGAATTAGCTTCTTATATATTTCTAATTTGAACATGCCAAAGGCATTTTTCTACCTAAAAAAACCCAGATCATGTCTTGCTGTATTATAGGTAAAGATGAGTAAAAACTTGTCAGTACTCTTGGCTTTGTTTTCAGAAGCACAATTGACACATACATGTACACCATGTGTATTTGCCCGGGGTGATAATTCTATATTGTCTTTAAAATGCAATCTTACCATATGTAGAGGTTACTTAAACTGAAATTGTTTTAGGTACCAGAGACAATGGTTCAAAAATTAGAACTATTTCTTAAATGGCATTTTTTCCCCAGTTCTGGAAGGAATATTAAGAAATGGTTGCAATAGGAAACTGCAGATAAGTAGCTGCAAAACAGGTTTCCCAACATATCTAGCTGAGAATGAAGGTTCTTCTGTCTCTCTCTCTCTCTCTCCCCCCCCTTCTGCCCCCATTTTCTCTCTCACCTTCCCAACATGAAACACGTGATTTTCATCTATTTTAGCAAATGAATTCAACTATTGCGATATGCACGAGAGGCTGTTTTCCTGGGACAAAAAAAAATTAAGCAAGGACGAAGAGCTGTGTAAAGCTCATCACATAGAGGACAGAAAGCAAGGAGCAGAGGTGGGGGTGGGGAGGAGAAACCCTACTGATTTCTTTTTCATGCATAAAACGCTGCATAAAGTCTGAGTCCAGACTTCACTGGACTGCCTTCTAGTGCTTCCTCCCCCTCTCCTTCCCCTTCAAAGAGCCTTGGAAGTCTGGAGGGCGGGGGCAGAAGAGGGCACGCTAAGGAGCAGTGGGTTCATAGAGAGCAGGTGGACGTCTAGGGGAGGTGAGGACGCAACGCCTCATCTTCTTCACCTGAACTTCTCAGATGCCAAGAAGCGTCGCAGCGTCAGGTACGCTCCCAGTTCGCAGGCCTCTTGCCCACCTAGGCCAGCGGACGCCCTGACGTGGGCTGTCTGGTCGCGCAGGGGCAGGAGGAGGCAGCTTTGGGGCTGCCCGCTGGCAAGCCGTCGCCCACCCTGGACTCACCCTCGAAGCGATCCGGTCGGGCCGCATCGGTCTGGGGCTATGGGAAGGTAGGGCCAGGACGAGACACGGTATCCGCGGGGAGGTGGCGGGAGCGAGGGGCTTCCGCTGAACCCGCAGCGGCTCACCTGCACGCAACCACGGCGCAGAGCACCTGACCGCACCGCCTTCCCGCTGCTAGCCTCAGCTCTGGGTGCCCATTGGTTGCCATAAGATTGTCTCTTCGGCCCTGGCTGCCAAGCGAAAGCCAGGCTCCCAGGAGTCGCCGCCCCGCGTGTCAATCAACAGGATCGCGGGGCGGGCACTGCTTGGTTTTCCTGGATGGGGGGGGGTTGGGGTGGTGGGGTAGCGAAGGGCTGCAAGGGCCCCGCGGGGAGGCCCCGGGCGGGGCAGGGGATGCTGACTTGCTTAGCCTGGTGCTCACTGAAGGTTTCTCGCTGCGTTGTCACACAGGGCTTTTCCCTTCCAGCGGCCAGGTGTATCCGTGGGCCCGTGAGGCTGTAACAGTGTGCTACCGCCCCTGCCAAAGCACTCTTAACACTGGTTTTGCTATCAGCTGCTTTTGTTTCCAGATCTCTTACCCCAAGCTCCCCTCCCCTCCATGCCCCTTTGCCACGGGCTTTGCTCCGAGGTTCACCTGAGCACAGGTGTCGAGGGGACGATACATTTTTCTTTGATTTTTTTTTTTAATCATCTGGCTTTACCTACTTTAAATTCAGAAAGGAAGTGTCGATCTAAGTTAGTCTGAAGCCTAACGTTTGCTGTCCAGGTGTTCGCGATTGAGGTCTCTAAGGGCTATGTGACCAGCACCTAGGAGCAGCACCTAAAAAGGCGCACACTGAACTTGGGTTAATTTGCTCAGGGAAAGGGGGCGGCAAGGCTATTCGGATGGCTGCTATGGGCTCCTCACTCTGATCTAGCTTGGTTTGCAAATATGCATTAAGGCTACAAACTTCAGACCCATTTCCGGTGTTTCTGATTAATGGCCCCATTTCTTCTTTTCCAGTACTGGAACATATCCATTCTCTCTCTGCCTCTCTCTCTCTCTCTAGTCAATGATATGTTTAGACCTGAGGGAGTGTTGGCAGGTGCATAATTTGCCAGTTTTATCCCAACTGTATTTACCATAAACTATAGCAGTGGTGTTGAGCTACTCTGCTACAGTTGGTCCTTTTACCCATTGAGCTACTCTGCTACAGTTGGTCCTTTTACCCAGTTTCTAGCCTTAATTCTGACCTAATGTGAATAGAACTCCAATTCTGTATGCAATGAGCATTACTATCTTCTGTGGTTGTTACAAAGTACTTCTCAACATCTAATTTGCCGGCAGAACTGTAGGCATAACTGCATTGGTGGCTTTGGCTCCTGTCCACTGTGCAGGATCTGTAAAATCGATAGACATTCCTGCTGCTGTCTAAGTAATCAAGGCAAGCATTTTGGTCACAGCATTTTATCTTTCTACTTCTAATAGAGGAGTAGTTCCAACTGCTGCCATCACTAACTCCTAATTGAATCATACCATCCCAAAGGCATCTGGGGCACTCTGTTGTGGACATTTACTGTAGTAACTTGTTTATGGTTTTCAACGTGTGGAATGGGGTTTAAGAAGGAGTCTGGTTTTTGATTGTAAGCCAGACCCAGAGACAGTGAACTTGTACAGCTTGTTCCAAGTCCCTAAGCTTTGTCCTTTGAAACTGATAAAACTTGGAACATGCTAGCCCAATCTGAGAAATCCTTGTCTGCCCCCAAAGAAGCCAATTCTGTGTTTCCCTCCAATGCTCAAAGGACAACTGATGCTGATCAGAGGGTAGGAGTATTGAAATTAGCTCTGTTTTTGGCATGGATCATTGATTATTATTGAGCTCAGTTCAGATGACAATCTACCTTGCTCTGAAAACTTCTCATGGAAATCATAGTTGTGTTCACCAGCTATACCTATGGAATAGGCCTGGTACAGCTGTTGACCATGGTTTGCAGTACAGACAGCTCCTCACAAGTGTTTCAGCAATGCCAGAGACACCTTTCAGATCCCCATATACTGGCATCTAGTGTTGAACTGGTAGGCTTGTTTTTTAAATTCATGTCACTAATGGAGGGGAGGGTACTGGTTTAAATAGTGTGGAGGAACAAGACTGTAAATTTCCACTTATGAAAGAATTCATGCTTACATATCCGTCCCTACCCACCTGCCTTGCTGTTGCCTCAGTTTTCATCCAGCAGAAGCCACCACCTGTGTCAGACTCTAGCTCTTCCTTTTTTTTTGTGTTTTATTTTTTAAAGATTTATATTTATTTATTTGAAAGAGCTGCAGAGGGAGAGAGAGAGACAGACAGACTTCCATCCACTGGTTCAGTCTCCAAATGGCAGCAATGGCTGGAGCTGGGTTGATCCAAAGCCAGGAGTCTAGTGCTTCCTCCAGGTCTCCCATGCAGGTGCAGGTTCAGGGGCCTGAGGACTTGGGCCATGTTCTACTGCTTTCTCAGGCCATAGCAGAGAGCTGGATCAGAAGTGGAGCAGCCAGGACTCAAACCAGCACCCATATGGGGTGTCAGTACTGCAGCCACAGTGTTGGCCCTCTTTTTTTTTTTTTTGACAGGCAGAGTGGACAGTGTGAGAGAGAGAGACAGAGAGAAAGGTCTTCCTTTTGCCGTTGGCTCACCCCCCAATGGCTGCTGTGACCAGCGCGCTGCCTAGAAGCTTCTCCTGGTCTCCCATGCGGGTGCAGGGTCCAAGGACCTGGGCCATCCTCCACTGCGCTCCCAGGCCACAGCAGAGAGCTGGACAGGAAGAGGAGTGACTGGGACAGAATCCGGTGTGCCGGCACCGCAGGCGGAGGATTAGCCTATTGAGCCGCGGCACCCGCCTCTTCACTTATTTTATATTATTGAATCAATAGTTGTATTAGGGGGCCTATAAGGAGACAGAAAGAACAGATAGGCATATGGCTCTGTAAAGGAAAATCTGTTAGGAGAATTGGCTCACGTGGTTATGGCAGCTAAGTCCCCCCACAGTTGTCTGCAGGCTGGAGATGCTGAGGTACAGGTAGTGTAGCTCAGTTCAAGTCTGGGGGACTCAGAACCAGGGAAGCCAAAGGTCACTTTAATCTAGACTTAATCTAAATGTAATTACATATGCAAAGATCCTAGTTCCAAATAAGGTCGCATTCAGAGGTTCCAGGAAAATGTGAATTTTGGCAGACTACTTTGCAACCCAGTATGCATGTCTAACAAAATTTTAACTTATGGCCCAGCCTGAGTCAAAAGCTTATGAATTATTAAGAATGACTCCTATCAAGGAAATGACAATATCTGGGGATGATGAGGATTTGAAGGAACAGTGCTGTGAAGAATGGCACAGCCACATGAAAAACAGTTTGGATGTTTTTTATCCAGTTAAATGTACCCTTATCATACAATTCAGAAATCCTACTCCTAGGCATCTATCCCAGAGAAATGAAGATAGGTGTCTGCTGAAAAACTTAGGTTTTTATAGCAGTATTATTCGTAAACACCAGAAATTAGAAAGAATCCCAGTGTCCTTCAACTGGTGAAGAGATAAGCAAATTATAGTCTATCTGTGAATCGAGCACTCTGCGGTAAGCAGAAGGAATGAAATACTGATACATGTGACAGCATGCATGGGTTGTGGAAACATCTTGCTGATGGCAAGCAGCCACACAGAAGTGGTTCCATACTCATTGTACCTTTAACTTTTAAAATATGTCCAAAGGATTCCATTTGTATGACATTCTAGAAAAGGCAAAACACAGGGAATAGGGATCCTGTTGGTCGGTGGTTGCCAGGAGCTGGGACTTGTTGGAAGGGATTGTCTCCAAAGACGCATGGGAAACTTTGTCACAGGAAGGAATTTAGATTGTGGTGGTAGTCACAGGGCTAAGTTTGTCCGTGCACCACCCTGCTGAAAATGTTTGATCAGTATGGAATTATATCTGAAATGGAAGCAACCTAAAACAAGCCTCACTTTGGGAACCCCTCCCTCACCTCCCCACAAAATTCATGAATTGGAGCTGGTGGTGTTTGGCTTACAGTCTCGGTTTTTTTGGTGTTGATGAGAGTTTATTAGTTCAGCCTGAAGAATAAGGACTGGAAAGTACAGGAAGTCCTTGGGGCCACTGCTCTGCTGGTTTTCATGTTTTACCTCATAATGTGAAGCCTGGAAACTACACAGCCAAAGCAAAATCAATTATTCTCTAGGCTAGGACTCCATGTCTTCTACTGAATAACTGGATTAGTCTAGAATGTACTAATGCAAACAGAAGTGATGGTAGCCTTTTAATATTTGGTTCAAGGCCTATTTTGTGAGACATTCTCAGGAAAAGCCAATGAGAAAACTGCATATGTCTTTGTGGTGTTGAGGGTAAAACTCAGCACCATGATCTTGGTTCTTTGCAAAACACATCCCATCCCTTAGATGCCTGAACATACTCAGTTTAACCTCACTTTTATTTTGAAAAGTATTGGCTTGTTATGAAAACTGCAGTTTGCAAGTTTACTGTCAGTGAGGGAGGTTCTCCAAGATCAAGATTTTTTTTCCACTCTGCCTGTTTACATTTTAAAGAAAAACGTTATCATCCTTTGCACCTGTTCTGGGGCTTACTGGTGCACTGAGTTCTCTGGCAAGTGTTCTGCTTTGCCTCTTCACAAAGCTTGTTGAACTGCTTTATGCCTTATGCCTTTCTTGGCACAGAGGCGCAGGGGAAGTCATGGGAGGGTTCTCCCTGCCCTGTTCCTGGATGGCTGCAATTTAAAAATTGGAGACCAATCTTTGCATTAAGGCGTTTCTCCTAGGAATGATGCCATATCCACTCCATATCTATGAGACATTTACATACACACATGTGTGACTAAGTCGATCTGATTCACTCTGATTAGCATCATTTGTTGGAGAGAAGAATCCCTGACAGGAGTGACAATGGGCATTGTCTTTTGAAGGTGAGTTAATGAAGGAGACCATGCAGAGGAAAAAAGACAACAGAAAAAGGAAGGGGAACAAATCCAGAGCTGATGTCCCTTGTAACTTACTCAAGACTAGGCTGTGCTGTGTGCATAATAAAGCAGCTGCCTGCTGGATAGAGAAATGAAGTCCCAGGCAACAGTGGTTCCTTGGCTTATGGAGGTTTTCCAAGTTCATCCTTCATTAAATTTTGAATAGCCTTTGTTATAGAAAATTCATATGAAATATAAAATGCTTGAAAGCTTTGCGATTGTTTTTAAATTTTTTTTAACATAAAGA